TCCCTCGTTCCCTCCTCCTTCCATCCATTCATCCGTTAGTTTAGGGCTGCAACTCCATTCTTTTGTGGGAGTGCTATGTTACAAGTGGGACAGGAATTGTGCACAGGAGTTGGCTGGGATTCATGCCTTCGATGCGAATACGCAGGGGGAGGAGGTTCTCTAGGGGGAGGTTGAGTGCCTGGTCAGGCAGGTAGTAGAAGGTCGCCATCGAAATCTTGAGGGGCTGGAGCAGCAGGAGAAGGAAGAAGAGGGAGGGTGGTGGGGATGCAGGATTAGGAGGGGATGAGAGAGTTGGGGATTTGATCCGTTTGGATGGGGGGATGCAACGATAGAGGAAATAGAAGGAGAGTCACTGGGATATGGTGAAGCATGCAAGGTAAGTTTGCGGGCGTTAAGGAGGTTGTGGAGGAGGAAGAGTACGAGGAGGGGGTCCTAAAGTGAATGGGAGGAGGATGTAGGTCGGGGACCCAATTTGCGGAGAACAGGGTGGGGAGCGTGGAGTGGGAGGGGGGCAATCAGGATGTGTGGGATTGGGAGGAGGAGAAGGTTGGGATGCCAGTCAATCAGGATGAGGATGTAGGAACCAATGGAGTGCAGGGGAAAGAATGCCAAGGCGACAAGGTAAGGAAAGGAAGTCGTTTAAGGGGATCCAGACAAGACGGGGAAGAAGAGATTGCAAGGCAGGGAGAGGGGCTCAACACGGATGGAGGGGAACATGTTGTAAGGAAAGGAGAGAGCAGGGTAATGACGAAGGGGCTGAGTCATGCGAGGGATAGGGTAAATGTGGATATGCAGGTGACGGAGAAAGAGCGCAATCAAGAGAGAAAGTGATAGACAGAGGAAGAGAGAAAAGCGACAGACATAGGAAGAGAGGAAATGACATACTAGATCCGCAGGGATCACATCGAGTATTGGAGGAGCAGGAGCTCGAAGAGGATCCCAACGGAGGAGAGCAAGGCGTGGAGAAAGACGGGAAGAGAGGCGACGGTCTCGTGACAAGGGTATAAGAGGATGGATAAAAGTGGATTGGCGGGGCGAAGATCGGGAGGGGGGATGGAGGGCGCAAGTTGAAAGATGGAATCGGACAGGCGGAAGGGAGGCGATGGATGTGGAGAGAGAGAGAGAGAGAGAGAGAGAGAGAGAGAGAGAGAGAGAGAGAGAGAGAGAGAGAGAGAGAGAGAGAGAGAGAGACGTGAGGGAGGGCGTTTGGCGATTGTTTATGATTGGACGCACCCCCCAGGCCGAGAGAGAGAGGGATGGAGTGAGAGGAGAACAGCAAGAGAACGGGAAGAGTGAGGGAGGAACCGTCTTCAGCGTCAGCAAAAAATGGTTGTTTACTGGAGAACTATGCTTGTGAGAGAGAGTGAGTGAGTGAGAGTGTATGTGTGTGTGTGTGTGTGTGAGCGAGCGAGAGAGAGAGAGAGAACTATGCTTGCACACGCGTGCGCAGGCGCGGATGTCTGTGTATGTGAGAGAGAGTGTGTGTGTGTGTGTGTGTGTGTGTGTGTGTGTGAGAGAGAGAGAGAGAGAGTTATGGACCATGTGGTCTGTAGATGGATACTTATGCACACCCCGAATACCTCATAGATATTTCGATGTGTGCGGGCGTAGCCGCAGTGGCTTTACTTGTTATCAGTAATCATTAATGAGGATTATCATCATCATCAATGATCATCAATGACCCTCAGTCATCGTCATCGAGGTTTCACCTTGTCCTCGTCTATTGCCTCCTCCGCTATGTTGCCGTCGTGTCAATGGCCTCGGGGATACCATTTCCATCCTTCATCCTCATCGTGATCATCATCAGTTCCTTGGGTTGTTTGTGGATTCGACCCAATGGGCAAATCATTGTCATTGTCCTCCTCCCTCCCTCCCTCCCTCGTAGCTTCAACATTGTCTACGAAATCGGAATCATATTTATTTTTTTCTCATCATCATCATCACCATATTTGTTCAGTGGCAGTTGTGTACTTAAGTTCTTTTAATATATATATCATGAACAATGAGCTACAACATTGTCTACGAAATCGGAATCATTTTTTTTTTCTCATCATCATCATCATCATCATCATCATCATCGTCATCATCAACAATCAATCAATCAATCGTCATCATCATCGATCAATCAATCAATGATTCGTCATCATCTTCTTCTTTTTCTTCTTTTGTGCTGTCTGCTATACTCTAATTCTGTTCTTCTTCTTCTTCTTCTTCTTCAATCGTCTCATCATCATCATCAATCGTCGTCATCATCATCAATCAATCGTTATCATCATCTTGATCTTCTTCCTATCTGTGCGCTATTTCTATTTTTTTGTCATCAATCATCATCATCAATCATCGTCATCATCTTCTTTCCCCTCATCATCGTCGTCATCGTCATCATCATCATCGTTCTCTGTTGCTGCTGCTCCTCTGGCAATTATTACCAAGGTGAAGGGTATGTTCTCTGTACTGGCTGCTTGTGGACGTCTGCGCTCCTTTCGTTCCATTAGCTTGTCTGTCGAATAGGAATCATACCGTTGCGTTCCGTTAACCATGGCTGCTATTCTGTACAACAACAGAAAAAAAAGGAAAGAAAAAGAAACGAATACGAGACCTAGCATGGTGCTGTTGCCCCTCTCGTTTTTTTTTTTTGTTCTTTTTTGGAGGGGGGGGGGGGGGGGGGGGTGGTTAGGGTGGGGGCGAGGGAGGGCCCAAATTAATTTAACTTTTATGCAATTATCATTATGTGATTTGTCTTCGGAGGGGGAGGCCCTTTTTTTCTAAATGGGGGGGAGGGTAAGGGCTCTATTTCAGGAGCCCTCAGTTTGACATCATTTCGGATTTTGAATTTCGGTTTTTTTTTTTTGTTAATTCTCTCTTCTTGGAAATGATGAGATGGTCTCGTCATCGCTTTTTCGTTGTGCTGCGCCGCAAGGGTTAGGGCAAGGGGTAGCGGCCTCTGTATGTAGTCCAGTTGTCCAACCAAACACAGATCCCACCCTTCCCATTACCCCCCTTCCACAGCACATGGGTTAGTAAAGAGGTCGATGCTCACGTTGTCTTTTACTGCGGTGCGCGGTCTGTATTTGGTCGGACTTCCGGGCTTCATACGGAGGATCTTCCTGATTAGTATCGTGGGTTTGCATGTCACACCTGGATTAATCTCTTGTTTAATATATTGTCTGTTTGAGTGTTGCTTTTTTTTTTCTTTTTTAATCTGATAGTGTACCAAATGGCCATGAGCAGTGCGGATGCTTTAAGCTGTGTGCCAATTGTCCTCTCGCTTATGGACCCCCCCACTCCACTACGCACCACATGCACAAAAGACAAAAAAATATGGCGATGTTTCTTCCAATGTTCTAGCGGAAGATTCATTCTCATTTTGCGAATTTGTGAGTAGTGGAGCGAGGCCACGTGTCCAAGGAGCAGCAGCACACGTCTCGCTTTTTTTTCCCGTCTTCTTATCTCTGGAACTGACAGGGTGTACATTGTCGTTTTCTTGTTTTTTTTTTAATTTCTTTCCCTTTTTTTTTCCCATTTTTTTTTTACCCCTTGTTCTTCTCCTTTCTTTTTCTGTTTTTTTTTTTTTAATCCCCCCCCCCCCCAAAAAAAAAAAATAAAAAATAAAAAATCGGGCCCCCTTCCCTCTCCAGTTTCTCCCCTTTTCCCCCTCGTTATAATAAAGCGAAGTGTGAGCAATCGACTTTGTTGTGGACATCATCAATAATTCCACGTTATTGTTGACGTCGTCAATAATCAGCAGACGACTGGAGAAAGAGGAGAGACCTCTAGGGTGAGGAGATCGTCGGGACACGTCATCGAAGTCCACTTTGTTGTGGACGTCATAAAAAAAAAAGCAGGCAGCTTCCTCTGCGAGCCATTCGAAAAGAGTGCCAGCAGCACACGTCATCAAAGAAAGAATGGGGTATATCGACACGTGGGAAGAATTTGCGGAGAAGGCGGAGGGATTGTATAGGTCAAACCCCGTGGGCGTATCCTTTATTATTATTACTGTTATTACTTGTTAGTTTTCCTTCATTTTTAAAATTTTTGAACATACTTTTGAAACTTTCGTTACTCTTTTTCGGGTTTTGAATCTTTTGATGGCATTTTCGTTGGATTCGTTTCTGAACGCTTCTCTTGCCATCTCCCTCTCTCTCTCTCTCTCGGCTTCCTTACCATCTCTGATTATGTTTGTTGATCCCAACTGGTGGTTGCTGTCCTGCATTTTCGTTTTTTTGCTGTTGTTGTTTTAGTTGGCCCTACTACACACGTCGTCCCCTTCTCTTCCGTTCCCTTCCGTTCCCATCCGTTCCGTTCCGTTCCGTTCTCTTCTGACTTCCCCTTCTGTTGACTTCCCTTCCCCTTCGCCGTCCCCTTCCCCTCTCCTTCCCTTTCTCGCTCTCCCCTTCTCCACCCTCTCCTTCTCCGCTCTCCCCTTCTCCACCCTCTCCTTCTCCGCTTTCCCCTTCTCCACCCTCTCCTTCTCCGCTCTCCCCTTCTCCACCCTCTCCTTCTCTGTTCTCTTCTTCCCCTTCTCCGCTCTCCTCTTCCCCTTCTCCGCTCTCCCCTTCCCTTTCCCGTCGTGGTCCTCTTCCCCTCTCCTTCCCCTCCCCTTCCCCTCCCCTTCCCCTCGCCCTCTCTCCCCTTCCACCTTCTCCTTTTCCACTCTCCCTCCTCTTCGCCCGCTTCCCTTTCCCCTTCCTCTCCCGTCGTGGTCTTCTTCCCCTCCCCTCTCACTCCCATTGCTCCCCCTTGTTCTCTTCCCCTCCCTCTTCCCCTTCCTCTCCGTCTCGCTCCGCTTCCCCTCCGCTCTCTCCCCTTCTCCTCTCTCCCTTTCCCTCCGCCTTAACTCTTTGATTCTTGTAGAGGTTACGGTAGTCGAAATTGGATCCCTCTTTTCTTTTTTAAATAATTTGGACCATTTCTTTATTTGTTTGTGTCATCCTTAAAAGCGCAGGGGCCATGTTAATCTTTGATTAACAAACAATTAAGAATCTCCTGTGCATCGCTTCGATTTTCATGGCTGTGTGATGTGCGGTAGAGCAACTGGATTGGGTGTTATCAATAAATTGCCAGTTTTAAGTTGAAAAAAAAAATGACTTCTCTTCAAAGTTCATTGCACATTGATACAACAACTTTGAAGAAAGACGGGTCTTTTTTTATTTTTAAGATCGTATAATTTTTTAATTGTTAGATAAGGTTGCCCTCTTCATAAAGGGATATTCTTTTCTTACTGACATTCAGATTCTGATTCTGATTCATTTACCAAAGTAGGAAAAAATGAATCAAACCTGAATCTCAATCTGCATCAGGAAAGAGTAGCATGTATGTTTGCTCCGAAATGATTAATGGTTTTGATTCAGATTGGTATTCAAATTCAGATTGGTATTCAAATTCAGATTGATATTCAAATTCAGATTGATATTCAAATCCAGATCCAGATTCAGATTCGGATTCTAATTCTGATTCAGATTCAGGTTCAGGTTCATTTCCCACCTTTTGAACCTTGTTTCGAAATCAATACTTTGATTCAGGTTCAGATTCAGACTCAGATTCAGATTCAGATTTACATTCAGAATTCATAGGTAACTTCAAATCTATATTCAGATTCAGATTCAGATTTAGAGTCAGGTTCGTTTACAAACTCTTGAGCATTGTTTCAAATAAATCTTGCCTTTTTTCTATCGAAATGAAAATTCAGATTCAGATTTACACTTACATTCAGACTTTAGATTCAGATCTTGAATTCAGACTTGAATTCAGATTCAGTATTCAGTATTCAGTATTCAGACTTCTGATTCAGATTCAGATTCAGATTCAGAATGCAGATTTGGAATGCAGATTTAGATTCCGATTCATTTACCAGTTCTTGGGTGTTGTTGTTTCGAAAATCAGCTCTTCCTTTTATTCTGTGCAGATGAAAATTCAGTGTCCTCCCATGCTGGCCCTGGTGTGGGGAATAAATAGTTTGGAACTGTGAATCTGGGCCTGTCTTGTGGATAAATACATATTGAAAAAGTTCTAATGTTTTTGTGGCTGGGCGTGTCGTGCAAATAAAATTTCCTGTTTGGAAATATAAAAGTCTATTGACTAATAAGAATGATGAGAAAAAGAGAATCTGATTCAGCAACAACAGCAGCAGCAGCAGCAGTAGCATTTATGTGGTGGCTTAAGAAAGTCAGCTGATTAAACCTTGACAGCGGCGACAACTTTTTACAGACGAGATATGTGACCAAGTACAGGCATTGTGATGGCAAACTGGTGTTGAAAGTCACAAATGATTTTGTGGTAAGTTGGGGGGGAGGGGGGAGAGAGAAAGTGGATGATTATGATGATGATATATGCTTGTTCCGTTTGCATTCTCAGCCGAGCCTTTTTTTTTTTTTTTTTTAAGCCTAACCGATGTCTGCGACAATGAGACTGGTATTTAGTAATTACGGGGGGGAATCAATGAAATAATGAGATTAACAAGAAGTATATAGTATATAAAGAATTATATAGAATGATTCATTTATTACCTAGGCTATTTCTCGCTGTGCCCGGGCATGAATTTTGTGCCCAGAATACGCCCGGACATATGCCTGTCCGGCCGTGCAGGGCCTTCAGGTGGGGTCCTGGGTGGCCTCACTGCAAAATAATAATAAATAATAATAAGAAAATCTATGTATATCATGGTAACCGCGGACCCGGACACCAGACACTTCCGGACCATATTTCGGACCATATTCCGGACCAGTGTCTGGACCGGTCCGGACTGTCCGGTAATCCGGACAGTGCCGGACACCGGACACTACCGGACACCGGACAGTCCGGACCGGTGTCAGGGGGTCAGGAAATGTCCGGACCCAAAAAAAAAA